GGGGGGGCCAGACTGGGCCGCGCCTCCCACCCCCACACACATCCCCCTTACCTGCTTCAGGCTTCCCGCGAATCAAATGTTCGCGGGAAGCAGGGGAGGGGGCGGAGTTGGGGCGGGGCCGGGGCCCTGTGGAGTATCCTCCTTTTGGAGGCTCAAAATATGGTAACCCTAGTTTATTCAGTCCCGGCATGGCAGGAGGCACCTTATGTTGCTTTCGGGGAGCAGCTGGAGACCATACTGGAGCCAAGACGCACCCACATATAAACTAAGGCTGGGCCTGTCAGCTGAAGCAGAAGCTGATCAAGTCCAGTGATTTTCCAGGCGAAACTGAATGCTGTGTTTCTGTGCTGCAGAGGGATAGCTCAGGGGTTTGAGCATTGGCTTGCTAAACCCAGGGCTGTGAGTTCAATCCTTGAGGGGGCCATTTAGGGATCTGGGGCAAAAATCTGTCTAGGGATTGGTCCTACTTTGAGCAGGGGGTTGGACTAGATGACCTCCTGAGGTCCCTTCCAACCCTGATATTCTATGATAATAAAATTCTGTGATAATAAGAACCTCCCCCATGGCTCTGCACAGGCAGAGGACCTTTCGGGGGGGCCCCCAAGACCAGACACTCTCCTGATTACAGTGGTTCTCTCTCTGCCAGGTAAACTCCTTTCTCCCACATACACAAACCATAGCCAGGCTCCCACCGAACAAAATCCTGCAGAGCAGCCACAGGCAGGAGCTTTGCATGCTCAGACCTTCTGGGTTCCCTGGATGCTAGCCCAGTTATGAACCAGGTGGGATCTGGAAGGGCATTTTGGATACTGATGTGCACACAGAAGCCCGAGGTGGAAAAGGAGGGTGATGTGAATTGGAGAGGCTGAGCAATAGCCTTTGCTGGGCCCTGCAGAGCTCCTGCTTTGCAAAGGCTTATATTTGGATTCTGGAGCCTGCACTTTATGTTTCAAAAACGGAGATGATACAACTGCCAGTCCTCTGGCATCTGGCTTTACAAGCTGAAGCAATAACCAGTCTGCAGAGCAAAAGCAGGCAGCTTGTTAGATGAGTCCATGATCTTGTCTGTGGGAGGAAACTGATCGGCACAGCTATAGCTCCCAAGTGGAGACTATTCTGGAGCAACAGTGATTTTTATTCCAGAGTAATCAGTCTGCTTCCAAAGCACTTACTTCCAAAGCAGAATAATAATTCTGGAATAAAAGTGACATTTATTCCAGAATACAGTATCCACACAGGGAGCCATTGCAGAATAGCTATTGCAAAACAGCTTATTTGCAATAGCTATGCAAGTCAATTTCCCAATGTAGACAAGGCCAGAGAGAGGGTTTGACGCTCTGTTCACCATGGCAGCCTGCTCTCCACAAGTAAGCGTTCCCTGCGGAAGGGTTCACGCCGGGAGGAAACACACCGAGGATAAAGATGTGCCCTTCTCCGACAAGCACTAGGGATGATTCCCCTCTTGACTTCCAGGCCACTTCATAATCCCTACCACTGGTACTGCAGAGGGAGGCTGGCCAGTGAAAACAAGTTGTGGGTGGTGCTTTCCTACAAGGAGTTGGCTGCCTGTTTGCTTCTCACATGTAGCTAAACACATTCATGCATCAAGAAGGCAACACCAAGAGGTCTCCAGGGAGCCCCCAGGATATTTTCCTTTAAAGATGTCACTCGCTTGGTGTGGCAGAGCAAACACACAAACTTATCTGCTGCCCTAAACCCTGACATCACCACCCCACACTCTGCCTCAGCACCCCAGCCTTGGCCTTTAGGGAGCATGAACCAATCGTCCCTGGGGTCAGAGGGGAATGGAGTCGCTCCAGCCCTTGGTCTCTCTGCCAAGATGTCCCACGTGGGGGCTGAGTGGAGGTGGTGATTTCTGTGATGGAGTTGCCTGTCTGACCAGAAATGGGGCTGAGACACACCCTGACTCGCCTCACACAGAGGCCCCCGCGCAGAGATTTCAGGGTGATGGACATTTAGCTCTGGGCTGTACGAGGCAAGGAGAAGCTGGTGGGCACCTCTAGGGTGAGTCAGAAGCTCCACAGGACGCCCAGCTCTGAATGGAGCAAAGACCACAGGGCGTCTATTGGCAGGGCCCTGAGCAGCTTCTCACATGAGTCGTTCCAGGCAGCAAGATTCCTTGGGGCATGGAGAGCTTCCCTCCGTCGCCTCTTCTCCCACTGCCCCGAGACCTCACCATGCAGCATCTTTCCCTCTGGGGACTCAGCTCTCGCCTCAGTGCCCCTCCTTCAGCCAGCCAGAGGGGGCATTAGATAGCAACATGGGGCACTTCCTCTTCCCACAGGCTGAGAGCAGCCCACTGACCCCTTACCAGCCCAGCAGCGAAGTGCTGAGCAGACACTGGGCTCCCGAACTGGCCAGGCGTAGCGTGGGATTTCCTGCCTCTTGCAGGGGCGAGTGATCTGGATTTTGTCCAAGAGGCAGCTGCAGCTGGCTCAGACCCGCCTGTCTTACACAGGCATTTGCAATGCTCAGGCCAGATACTGCTCAGTTTGAATTATTTTGTTTTGGGGAGCAGCTCAGCGAATAGACTAAATACACCCAAAGCCTCAGAGGCCTGAGTCAGGGGCAGGAGACAAGCTGGGGCAGAAGCTCTCAGAGGTGCACAGATGGGGGCTGCAGAGCATGTGTCCCCAAGGGCTGCTGCATCTCTTGGAACTGTTGCAGTGAAAGAAGACAGCTGGCTGTAACTGCTTGGTGGGTGTGCAGTACTCACTGCTTTGCATGGTCTCTGCTGAAAAAAAAATACCCATCTGAAGTTGGAGGAGGGGTGTGTGTGTGTGTGTGTGTGTGTGTGATGAATTAGTCTAAGGGTTTGGGGGAGTGAAGTATTGTCTTTAAACTGATGTTCATTTTGAAATTTCTCTGGCAGATTGACGCAATGTGTAACTACTACCCAGTGTAGACACACTACAGCTCCCTACCTGTCAGCCCTTTCTTTACTTTCACCCCCTGGAGACTCAGGAGATATTTATATAGCTCTGTGGCACCTTAGAGACTAACAAATTTATTTGGGCATAAGCTTCCGTGGGCTAAAACCCACTTCATCCCACTTAGTCTCTAAGGTGCCACAAGGACTCCTCGTTCTTTTTGCTGATACAGACTAACATGGCTACCACTCTGAAACGTATATAGCTCTGTACGTACAGGGCCAGACTCTTCCTTGCCGTTTACTTCATGTGATCATTAGCGCCATTGCAAAGCAGATGTAAAATGCTCCCAAATCGGGATGGTAGCACTCTGCACTGGTGTAAATGACTGTTCAAAAAACAACGTAATGGAGAATCGAGCTGACAGCCTCCCAAGCATTCATTTTGACTGGCGTGGAAAGAAAGAGTTAAGAGGGGCTAGAAGTAGAGGATAACCGGCTGCTATTCGCTAATGTTTGCACAGTGCCCCGGAGAGGGAAAGGGAAATATTTGAGCATTATCATTGTGTTAGGATCAGTATTTGCCCTAAAAAGCAGGAAGCAGCCTGCACTGCTGCAAGCCAGCCTTCAGTTCACTTTCCATCCTCCACGTGGCACCAGGAGCTGGGAATGATCAACAGCCCTGAGGAAGTGAAAGAGGGCTGGCCTGATGGACAGCAAACTTCAGGACAAGGACAGTCATAGACTCATAGAATCTCAGGGTTGTAAGAGACCTCAGGAGGTCATCTAGTCCAACCCCCTGCACAAAGCAGGATCAATCCCCAACTAAATCATCCCAGCCAGGGCTTTGTCAAGCCTGACCTTAAAAACCTCTAAGGATGGAGATTCCACCATCTCCCTAGGTAACCCATTCCAGTGCTTCACCACCCTCCTAGTGAAAAAGTTTTTCAGTCATGACTTTCTCCATCTGGATTTTCATCTAAGTGTTGGTACTTTTGTGTCTACATGTTTCTTCCTGCCCATACAAATAGCTGCAATTATAAATATACTGAATTGGAGAACTGAAACCAACAGGCAGTTTTCTTTTCTCCCTCCCCCCCAACTGGAGCCTCGAAGTTGAGCTGAGTTGTATACAAACTCACCTACTTGTGTTTTCTGGTTGAAAGCCCATCAGGGAGCATCCTGTTTAGATGAATGTGACTCAGAGCAACTGTCAAGAGCTAAATTTACTGCCTAAAACAGTAAACTCAAAGCAAAACACCGGTCCCCATTATGAGCTCATGTGCAGTACAGGTTATCTAACCATTTCAAAATCCTCTTAAACTAGGAATGATTTTACCTGGATGTAGAATGTCCTGGAGCTCGTTATGATTTCAAACAGATTGTCCCGCATGAGAAGGTCACTAGAAACAAGAGAAAGAGAGAGGTTACCCTGAATTCATCATATGCAGGATAGACTATTTCTTCTTTATGCTCATATCGAGAAAACATTAACAGAATATTCAATGCAGACCTTGGATGTATTCAGTACTGATCTTAAGTTATACAGAATTGAGGTCTGTGTTTCTTATCATATACCTTGTTTACACACGCACACTGCAGTCTGCAAGCCAAATGATTCTCAGTCACACTTTAAACAAAAGTTCCATTTATAAATAGTTGATAAAGGATAATAAATGATTAATAGAGGTTTTAAATAAATGGGTAGTCAATTGTTAAAGTCCAGCAGGTCAAGGGACTGCTTATAACCATAGATTATAATCATCTACAACACCTTCTACTGATGTGCTTATAACACATACTATTCCTGTCTATTTGATTTATTAACTGTTTATTTAGCCTTTATAAGTGGATCCTTACTATAAAGTGTGACCTAATTCTGTCAGTCAAATGGTTTTTGCATAGGGTAAGAAGAGTTTGTTTCATTAAAGCTCTAGCTCATGTTTTCACTTGCACACCTTTAAATCGACTTGGATATGTTCAGCATCTCCACTGCTAATTTGGGTAATAAAACAGCATTCATAAAGGCCTGGTCTTATTCATGGCTCTCCTAAGGCTCAGCGCAAGCACAAATATCACGAGCAGTAAATTACACTAAAGATGTTGTGCAGCCTGCCTATGAAATCACTGTCAATCAATTCTTCATCTGGTTTTCATCATATCTGATAACATGGGTCCATTCAAAACCAGTGCATCAAAACCCAGTAAACCAGGAACATGACTCAAAAGTGGTGCCCATCACAGGACCCTGGGGGGGCAGGGATGCACAAGTGAGGGAGAAGAGAATGAAGAAAACCAAACCATGTTTGATAGGTCTGGATGGAGAGGACACTCACCCGGTGAGTACCTGGACTGCATGTAACCCTAGCTGCCTTTGTCCCTGCCAGCAGCACAGAGGTCTTAGTTTCCTGAGTAGTTTCTTCAGTTCATTAAGGACACAGATACTGTTATTCAGTGCACTGTGCTTCCCTCTCACAATTTTAACTGTGGCAACATCTATACTGGTGAAGATCTAGGGTCGTGCCAGCATAAGATGGGGCAAGAATTAGCCAATTGGCTAATACATGTCAAACCCAAGCTTGGAGTTCACTCGCAAACAGTAACTGCATGTCTGCAGAGCCCCTCCACATTGCCATACAGACTGTGATCCTCCATTTAGCAGAGTTCTAACTAGCCACCCACTTGCTGTCCTCAGGTACACATCTAATTCAGTGCGCCAAGGGCGGGGGGGGAGGGGATGAATTCTGGCCAGCAGCTGACTCCCCCCGGATGTATATGTGAAGCTGCAGCCCCACTCCAGATCCCCACAAGGGCACCCCACCTTTCTTCCCTGAACATAACAGCGGCTTATTCCACCATTGCAGTCTGGGTGGGTGGATGGATGCTCTGCTTGGGAGGGGGTCTCTCTGCACTCTGTTTAACAGGGGTTAAGCGTTCTTGCTCAGGCTGTCCACCTGCAATTGGCTGTGGAATGCATTCCCTTGCCAGCTCCTTCTGGGGACTCCGAGCGGCTCTACTCTCCGTAAATTCACTCCTTCTGAGAAAGGGAGTCTCAGCATCCAGGTAAATATATGGGATTCCTCAGATCAAAGGTGCTAATTGAAATGGGATGTCTAGACGCAGCGTAACTTGGCCAGGACAGGGAGCTGGGTCCCAACTCCAGACGGATAACAGGAAAACAAAATAAAGGGAAAATTAAAGGTGCTACATACTGGAAAGATGCTCTCAATGAAAGGCATGGGTCCCAGCCACAAACCAACCCTGAAAAACTGCCTGAGATCAGCAGCAAACCTGTGACACGGGGGAGGCTGTGAAATGTGACCACTGGGGAATTCCAGTGAGACACAGCGTAACTCAAACAAGGAAGGATGACTCTGAGTGGCACCAGAGAACACATGATCTGAGGAGAAGCAGGTAGTGACAGCCCTGGCTGGGAACTCAGCTGTGGCAACTTAAACTACAATCTGCCCTTTACATCCCTTACGTGCCCCTCTTCATCACATCCCTTTTCCAGGTGGGGGACTGAGGCATGTAGAGATGAGGTGATTTCCTGTCGCTCACACAGAGAGTCAGTGCCAGGGCTGGGATTAGGACCTACCAGTCCTCACTCTTGCCCTAGTACTGTCCCCCCAAAGGAGCCCTACGGGCTGCTGTGGATTGGTCAGACTCTCTCATTGTTCCTTAACGTTCCGTAATTCTCCCCTTCTTTCCTTGCATACTTGCTCCAGTCAGAGGGTCCCCATGTCACCCTCCCCCTCCTCCTAACACTGGGTCTCTTCCTCACTGCAGTACCTGAGCACATACCCTCATAGCCACTTTATGCAGCAGGGCACTGCTAGCACCTCCACTTACAGATGGGAAACTGAGGCACAGAGGGATTACATGACTTGCCCAAAATCACTCAGGAAGCCTGTGGCAGAGCCAGAAAATGGACCCTCGTGTCCCAAGTGCCCATACAGGGCTCTAGCCACTAGCCCATCCTGCCGATCCATCCACTGCTGGGTTGTAACACAGCACTGTGGGCATGTCTACACAGCCTGCAGCAGTCAGTCTCAGACCTGGGTCGACAGACTCAGGCTTGCACCACAAACAGCCTTGTAGACATGGCAGCTCGGGCTGGAGCTCGGGCTCTGTCCCGCGATGTCTACACAGCCACTGTTAGCGCCGTGGCTGCTGGCCCCGGCTCTGAGGCTCGATGCCATGGACAGCTGCTCGCTGTGCGGATGTACCCTGTTTAGCGGCAGTGCTACAGGGCAGGTTCGCACAGGAAGTAAAGAACCATCCACAAAACCACAGGGGTATCCTTGGCCAGGCAGGATGCAGCCACCCCACTGGAACTTGGCTGGGACACCCGGGCTAGCTCCTCGGAGGATAAAGTCCTTTCATAGCCACTGCCACCTCTCGTCTAACGGGACCGAATCCAACAGAAGTGCAGGAAAAGGCATTACCCAGATTTGACTAGACATTCGTGGGTCTTGAGGACGTCCTTCAGGAGGATCGAACGCAAGGGCTCCTTGTCCTGGGGAGACAAGACAAAACAGAGTCAGTGGTTCTGTATCAACCTAGCGGGCTGCTCTGGTGGCACTGGGAGCCCACTCTAGCACCCAGGAACTTTGAATTGTGAGACCCAAGAGCAACCTTCAGCAAAGCCTCCATGGACGGAGTCCTGGGGTGACAGGTTCCTTGGCCCCCGGCTGGAATAAGGAGAGATGTCACTGGGCGGGAGCATTCCCAAATGGCAACTCCATGCAGCGTCTCTCACCCCCGCCCTCCAATCCCTAACCCAGAAGCAGCACCCAGTGAACAGTGACTGAGAAGGGGAAGGCAGATGAGCACGGCAAGGTTTTGCGTTTTTTTTTTTAAATCTATTGGATCACATTCAATTCGCTCCCTTTCCATTCTTTGCTCTGCACCTTCCTCTCCTGTCTGTCTCCAGTCTTGGGAAGTCAAATTGGCATCTCACGGGCATGAGGGGGGCACGGCCGCAAGCAACCCCCATCACATAATCCCACCTGTAAACTTATCAAGCTCCGTTTTAAAACTAGACTGATTACTTGCCCTCAGTGCTATTGGGAGGCTGTTCCAGAGCCTCACTCCCCTCGCTGATGGTTAGAAGCCTTCTTCTAGTTTGTCCTCTAAATGCATCCATGGCCAATTACAGTTGTGATGGTGCATGCCAGCACGTGTGCTGTGGTGGGTGTGGTGGGGGGTATGCATATATTGGGAGGTGAGCATGCAGGCGTGTGCGTGAGGTTTTTTGCTTGCAGAAACAGGACTCAGAACTCCATAGTGGTTCAGGCAGTGGAACAGCCTCTGCGACAGCACAGCTTTGAGCTGCATTTGTGCCAAAGTCACAGCTCCCCTGCCTGTCCTTAAGCCCAGCCACTGCACCTGCTCCCTGCACCCCTGCAGTACGTGGGATCCGTTCTCAGCTTTAGCCCCAAACGTGGAGGTTTTCTCCCACATATTTTCTGTGCTCAAAATTTTGATTGATTTTAACAGAAGCCAAAAACGCAGCCTTGCAAATGCCAAGCCCAATACACCCATGAGGGAAGGGACAAGTGGACAAGGTCACCCAGAGAACAGTGAGCCAGAGGCGGCTGCTTACCTGCTCGCACTTGAAATAACTGATAGTAAAGTCGTCAAGAGCAAAGTACCGGCGTTTCCAGCTCTTCCTCTGAAAAACAGAGAGAACAGTCCCTAATGCTTCCAGGGTTGAGTTCCAGCCTCCCCAGCCCCTCAGAAAAAACAAATGGATCCTGAGAACCTAGGGGTCACATCTTCCAAAGAAGGGGCATTGGTGAAAGCCCTGAGCCTGCTCCACTGGGGAACAGAAAGCTCAGAGCTAGCAGCTCATAACTGAGGGTGCTGAACCACCTACCACTGCTCTGACACCAGGACCTATTCTGCACCAACACTGCCCCACTCCCTCCTCCTACACAGAGCAACTGTTCACGCCAACATGATCCATGAACCTCGAGAAGTGAAAAGCTCCCCTTTTGGGCACAGCGGTGTGGGGGAAGCAAGAGGAGGCTCAGAAGCAATAAAATCAAGCCCCCTTCAAGCCCCCCCCCAGTGCTCTGCTCCATGAAGGACTCAGTGCAACTCTGCAACAGGCACTCACCACATTCCCCTGCTTCACGCAGTAGCCGCTCTTGAGGACAGGTGGCCCTGTGGACGGCTTGGAGGCAGAGGTGGGTATGTAGCTCTGGGAGCGTCTCAGAAGAGGGTGAGTGGCCACGTCGCCTCCGTCTGCTCCTTCCCCTCCATTCTGAAACAAAAGGAGAACAATTGGAAACCTGCAAACAGCCTGGGGATGGGAGAGCGGACAGCACGTGCATGGTTGAGTCTGGCAGAACAGCCGAAGGAATTTAGTAGCCCAGCCTCTAATCTACTCCTGCCCCTTGCCACGAACAAATGATATTTTATTAGCCCAGCCGAACAACACACCTGCCCCATGCAAGCACGAGAGCAACGTTTGCACATGCCCGGATTTTCAGAGGTGCTGAGCACTTGCAGTGCAAGTGAAAAAACAAAGGCACAACCTCAGCAAACCTGGGCCTCAGCGGGTGAGGACGCCGCACCTTGGAAAGTCAGACACAACGCTACACCAAGGAGCTGGACTTCGTGCCACAGAACATGCGGATTCAAACATTAGCACGACACACTAATATGACGCGCACTTTAAATGGACGAACTAGCTAACTGACAGATCTCAAAACGTAGTTGTCAATTAATCAGCTTTGAATGGGGGCATTTCTAGTGAGGCTCTGCAGGGGCCAGTACTAGGCCCAAAGCTATTTCACCTTTTTACTAGTGATCTGAAAGTAAAAAAAAGTCACTGCTAATAAAATCTGTGGATGACACAAAGATTGAACATAAGAACGGCCATACTGGGTCAGACCAATGGTCCACCTAGCCCAGTAGCCTGTCTTCCGACAGTGGCCAATGCCAGGTGCCCCAGAGAGAATGAACAGAACAGGGAATCATCAACTGATCCATCCCCTGTCGCCCATTCCCAGCTTCTGGCTGCCAGAATCTAGGGACACCCAGCACAGTGGGTTGTATCCTTGACCATCTTGGCGAATAGCCCTTGATGGACCTATCCTCCATGAACTTATCTAATTCTTTTTTGAACCCTGCTATCATTTTGGCAACATCCCCTGGCAATGAGTTCCAGAGGTTAACTGTGTGTTTTGTGGGGAAAGTACTGCCTTTTGTTTGTTTTAAAGCTGACGTCTATTAATTTCATTGGGTGACCTCTTATTCTTGTGTTATGTGGAGGGGTAAATAACACTTCCTTATTCATTTTCTCCACCTCATTCATGATTTTATAGACCTCCATCATACCCACCCTTAATCATCCCTTTTCTAAGCTGAACAGTCACAGTCTTTTAAATCTCTCCTCAAATGGAAGCTGTTCCACACCCCTAATCATTTTTGTTGCCCTTTTCTGTACCTTTTCCAATTCTAATATATCTTTTTTGAAACAGGGCGACCAGAACTGCACACATTATTCCAGGTGTGGGCGTACCAATGATTTATATAGTGGCATTACGATATTAACTGTCTTATTATCTACCCCTTTCCTAATGGTTCCTAACATTCTGTTCGCTTTTTTGACTGCCGCTGCACATTGAGTGGATGTTTTCAGAGAACTATCCACATGGACTCCAAGATCTCTTTCTTGAGTGCTAAGGAGTAGGAGCCGGAAGCTGACTTGACCCCTGCATACTGTGTTGGTGAGACCACTACTGCAGAGAAAGGCAAAACAAGAACCAATGGCCAGAAGCTGGAGTGAGACAAATTCAAATTAGAAATCAGGCACACATTGTTAAGTGAGGGACAAACCACTGAGAGAAGTGGTGCATTCTCCACCTCTAGATGTCTTGCAGAAGAGCATCCAGGCCATGTTTGCTTTAGCCAAACATGTTATCGGGCTCAGTACAGGGATAACCGGATGAAATTCTATGACCTGTGTTATACAGGAGAGTCATCTTAGATGATCTAATGGTCCTTCCTGGCCTTAAATTCTGAATCTGTGAAACTCCGTACAATGCAGCCAGCACCGTGCACGGGGATGTGAAATGGTTTATTTGTGCCCAGCAATGTCACTCAGAGCAGGGGCTGCCCAGGGACAGATGCTGCAGTCTGCACATTGCAAGGTCACTGGCGCAATATGGGACACCCATCCTGCTGCACCAAACCAAATCTCTCTCACACAGAGCTCAGTCTCAGCAGGCCACAGTCTCTGTCAGGCCCCAGCTCATCTCTGGAAGCAAACTTGCAGCACCCTGGGCCTCTCCCAGCCACCAGAAAGTAACACTGTGGGGATTCAGAGGACTGGAATTTGCTGTCCTGCACTGGATGTTGTTTCTTTCCTAAAGAGCCCTCCTCAGCCCCTGGCACACAGGGACCGCAGGCCCATTCCAACTCCAGCTCCTTATCTGGACCAGCCACTGGCCCAGGCACCGGGTGCGCTGGGATCACAAAGCTGCACATACACACGCTCGTCCTGCAGCACCCCAGCTCGCTCCGTCCCTGCCAGTTGGCAGCAGGTGCCCTGCTCACCAGACCCACGGGAATCACGCTGCCAGACAGCTCACAGAAGCAGACCCGAAGGGGCCTGGAGCAGAGCGCGCACGTCCTGTTGCAGCTGCCAGGCTGGGAATCTGACAAGGTCGTGGGCCCCACTCAGAAGAGACTGATGGGGCTCGTCAGCCCAGCCCACGTGGGCTCTTGCTGGTCCTCAGAGCAGTGTCAGGACACCCAGTCAGACCGGCTGTAGCGTTTCTGTGCTCTGTGGTTTGCCTGCAGCACGTCTTGTTCACACAACAGCAACACCAGGGCAATCGCACAGCGGGAGGGGAGGGAGCCCAGCTCCAGCAGCCTCCAGCTGCCCCCCTTCACCCTGCTTGTCCGGGTGTGTGGGGGGGCGGCTAGGTACTTCCTGAGACTCAAAGGGGAGGGAAACATGGTAGAAGTCAGCAGGCAGACACATTTTCCACTGCTTGCTGCTGCTGAGCCATTGCTACTCTGCCCTCATTCTATAACCCCTAAGAAACAGGCACCCAGCCCAGCCCCTCCTGCCTCCTTTATAAGGCAGAACTTGGGGGGCAAGGGGGGGGGGAGATAAAATGTAACCACTGTGCACATCTCTCTCTCCCCCTCTCCTTTCAGCACAAGTTTGAGGTTAGTGAATTGTTCGAGCAGAGGCTCCTGGCTCGTACCCGTTAGCTTGCAGGGCTCGAGCTGTCCTTATATGGCATTCACGCTGGTGAAGAGGCCTGTTGCGGTTAACCAGACAACATGCCCCGATCTCTCACCCTCAGCTGTGCACTTTCCCCCTCCCTCCACGACAGGACTTTGATTTTTCCAGGACCAAAATGAATTAATCAAAATAAAGCAACTTGGGCCCAAGCCAGCCCTTCACTCCCTTCCGTGCCCCTCTGCGCCAGGCAGGGCGCTCGGCAGCCCACCTGGCTGCTGGGCGGGAGAGACGCGTTCGCAGCAGGTGGGAACCAGCCACTCCCCCGTCACCTGGATTCGCACAGGCCCTTTGCCATTTGTTGCAGCACTTGATGTTTGGAGAAGGACGGAGGAGAGTTGAGGGATTAGTCTCCCAGAGCGAAGGAGGGAAGGTGCATCGTTAGTGAAGACATTGCCCCAGAGGTTAGGCTGTAAGGAGCAATCCTACACTGACTCCCAGAGAAATGCGCTAGACAGGAGCAAGGCTTTTCCATCCCTCCTATCAATGAGGCCAGGACTCTCCTTTCGTCCTGCCTGGAGTCACAAAGCTGCACCTGAGGCAGCATATTCCTTCCTGAGGCAAGGCAGAGAGGCCATGAATGCAGGCTCAGGAGGCTGCCGCAGGCGAAGCCTGGCTGGGAGGAAAGGCCATTTCACCAAGGGCAGCATCGGAATTGCAGAAAATAACTCAGCAGCTGGCGTCCTTCCCTCAACACCCTCTGCAGTGCGAAAGCGACTCTAAAGCAAACAGGGGCTGTGGATGGAGCTTTAGGCTTTTTTTGGAGAACAAACTAACCCAAAAGCAACCCCCAGCCCCTCACATGGGAGAACAGACCAGCATTCACTTGCTACATAAATCACATGGCAGGGTGCCCACTTAACTGCTGCTTATTTGTTTTTAATAGACAATAAGCTTGGCTCCCAAGTGACAAAAGGCCAGAATACACAGCACCATTGTGTGCCCAGCTGCTGCTGCCCTGCTCACTCAGGCTACAGGCTCCCTCTGCACTCCACAAAGCAGCTTAGTGTCAGTGCCAGGCAGAGGGGAAACCACTGGCTAGCAGCCACCGGGCCCCAGTGAGGAGCCAGGAAAAACACAGAGTCAGAAAGAAGGCTCGGTTCCCCCACCCTGATGCACATGGCTGGGGCCAGCCGGAGCCTTGCAGAGAAACCCGCAGAAACAAACAAGAACTTCCCAAAACAGGGATGAAAAATTAGGCTTGGGCAAGGACGTGAAGCAGAGTTAGAAACCCGGGCAGGACGTAAACGTTGTTGCAGCTGGGCCTGGAAACCTCCCCTTGGATTCTCAGCCTGGATTGCAGCCAAACAGAAATAGCGTGGGGAGGCTCTGGGCTTCCTGCCAAGGACTCGGTGCCCAAGGAGCACAGCACAAGGTGCCAGACCTGGGGCTTCATCTGCACCCGCCTACAAACATTCCCAGGGAGTGGGAGTCAAAGGGAGCTGCCACCCTCAGGGAGGCGAATGCCACTGTGTCTAGGGAAAGGGAAAGGCTTGTTCTCAGTTTAAGCACAGAGCAGCCAGTCACACCAAACTAGCACAGGGGTTTTGCACGGAAAGTGGTACCAGACGTGATGAGCGAGGGTGGGGTCAGTTTCGTTTCTGTGCCTGTTTCCTGGTGCCCTGGTGGAGGCAGAGGAGACACCCAGGCTAATACTCCACGTTCCAGAGGAAATCTACCATAACCTTCTGCAGTTCTCTAGCGCCTTCCATCCCCAGGTCTCAAAGCACTTACCAAATGGGACTGCCTCCCAGTGTGTGCTCCTGCAGCGAGTATCAGCACCCAGGCTGCTCAATAGCATTATCCCCATTTTACAGGCTGGGAAACTGACACAGAGATAGGAAGTGACACAACCAAGGTCACAGCACCGAAGATCAATGGTGCAGCCAGGAACATCACCCATGTCTTTTGAGTACCGGGCTGGTGCTCTAACCAGCAGGCCAGGCCTCATCCCGGCAGCAGTCTTAAAGACACGGTAGGAAGGATGAAAGTGGTCCTTCAAACTGAACACTCTCCTACCTTCCCAGAAATGGTGAAATGTGTCTCCCGATAGAACTGCTCCACTCAGGTAGCGAGCCCCACACACAACCAGGGACTGGGATAGGAGGAACTGCTTCAAAATGGGAAGTGAAACACCCCCTGGAAACCATATAGAGTCATAGAATTTAAGGCTAGAAGGGACCAGTAAATCATCTGGTCTGACCTCCTGCAGAACACAGGGCAGAGACCCTCACCCAGGGATTCCTACTTCTGAGCCAGAGCATCTCTCTTAGAGAACCAAGCAACTTGGACTTAAAGGGATGGAGAATCCACCGCATCCTGAGTGAGCTGCCCCCATGGTCATTTACCCTCCCTGTTAAAAATGTGCACCTTATTTCTGGTCTGAATTTGCTAGTTTCAGTTTCCAGCCACTGGATCTTTTCCTGCCTTTGTCTGCTAAATTAAAGATCCCTTCGCGATCACAAATCTTCTCTCCTTGTAGGTACTAGACCACAATCAAGTCATATCTTAACCTTCTCTCTGATCAGCTAAATAGTTTGAGCTCCTATTCACACAGGATGGAGCTGTACAATTGTTTCGCTCTGCTACTTCCTGCCAGCAGTCTCCCTTAGACATGTACATGGATAATGAGCAGGGCCGCCCGGGGGGGGGCAAGTGGGGCAATTTGCCCCAGGCCCCACAGGGGCCCCCACCAGAATGTTGGAGGCTCCCCCGCACCTCCGCCTTCCCCCATCCCCCAGCGCCTCAGCACGCCGCATCCAGGAGCGGCCCTGGACAGTGCTGCAGTGGCTTGGCTCAGGCGGTGCCTGAGGTCCTCCCGCTCGGAACCGCATGGTAAGGGGGCGGGGCTGCGAGCTCCGGTGGGCCGAGCGGCAGGAGCTCCTGGACGCGGCTCGCTGAGGCTCTGAGAGAGGGAGTAAGCGGCATGGTAAGCCCCTCTGAGACGGGCACCCCCCAACCCCATCCCCTGCCCCCCTGATCCCCAGCTCCGAGCCCAGCCCC